ATCTGCCTTTGCCTCATTTGATATTGTTTTACTATTGTCGAACTGTGCATCATTTGATTGCATTGTTTTGGTCGTCTTCGGGCGGCTTTTGTCGTTGCATCTTAAATTGATCAATTGACTCGAGTTGGGGGTCTCCACTTTTTTCTTTTACCTAACAAATAGAAAACAAATCGTTTGATTGGCGCTTACGTAAATTAAGGCTTATTAATTTCCGTATTTTATGTATTTTTTATTGTATTCATATTTGATTGACTCTCTCTTTTATATATGTATTCATTTGGGCCATATGAAAGACCCCAAAGACCGGCTGAACAATGTCTAGCCATACATAGATATGTGTATATTCGTATATAGATTTACATAATTATGTCATTTCGGTTACTTCGGCATTCCAAAACGGAACGTGGAAAAATGTTTGTTTTTTCCATCACATAAATCAATTTAACTAAATGTTTGGAGGGAACTTGTCTTGGAATTTTAAGTATTGTTGAACAGCGCGTGAAATAAAATTATTATTGTTTTTCTTTACGAATTTTATAAATTCTATTGTGTTTTGGTCAGTAAAGTTTTTTTCACACAAAATAAACATATTTGATGTATTTTATATTTGTTTTTTTAACAATTTATATTACATATCAATGCTGAAATGAATTTATATGCGAACTCAAACGATATATATGCGCATACATTACTATACTACAAGAGAGCTTTTTCCGCTCTATTATATTTCGCTACCCATTGACGGGCAGACGCACTCACATACACACATTGTCAGACGAGCACAGAAAGAGCGGCGCTCAGCACAAGGGCAATTTCTAATAGGAACGCACGCGATTGAGAGCCGCTCACTAAAAAAACATAAACAGAGCGTAATGAGGAAAATAAGAGTGGGTGCAAAATTCCCACGACCACGACCCAAACAAACTACCTGAGAGCAAACAATGCATTGAGAGGGGAGGCATAGGGGGAAGCGGCTGGCGCTGTGCTAACGCCAACGCGACGGCTGAGGTCGCTCGAACAACCCTCGCTCGTGTTGTTCTAAGAGAGAGAGAGAGAGCCAAAGCAAACGAGCGACCGAGAACAAAAGCCGAGCGTTCTTAGTGTATGTATGTGTGTGTGTATGTGTGGCGATGTTGGGGCTGTCACGGATCTCGGGTCGACCTGGCCACTGAGTGCGTTTTCAACAGTTGTTGGCGTCGGTTGTCCCGTCACCGTCTCGCCAGAGAACTTTTTCCTTCAGTGTTTTGTGCGGTGAATTATACGAAAAGGAAGGCCCGAAATTACGCGTCCCACCTCTCGGAAACGTGAAATGCCCAATAAATTGTTCTTAATTATCTAATGTGCAAGATATATAGCGTAAGCGTGCAGACGAAAAAAGAAATTTGCATCTAATATTTGTGTGTGGAAATCAAGAGATGCAAATAAATAAATAACTAAAACGAAAAACGTGATAGTGCAATACATAGAAACATACATATACAAATGTATGCGTGTGTGTGAGTGTGTGCAAGCAAAGCAATAGTTGAAGAAAGGCAGACACATAAACATAAGGAGAACGCGCCTGCCAATTGAACGTAGTGCAACGAACCCAAGCCCGAACCCGAACCCTTCGCTCGAGACGGGGGTTGTGTACGCGCTTCAGCCCAGCCAACCCCCTGCCCACTCAGCTGACCGACTGACTCATCCATCATCATCCTCCTCAGCATTCTGGGCAGAGAAACTGGCGGTGCGGCAGCGGTCGCTCGTGGTGCGTAGCCAAGAATAAATAAAAACCAAAAACAAATCGTGAAAAGCAACAACAAAACAACTGCCTAAAAGTCTAGCTTCACAGCTTAATCGACGACACGTAACGTAACGTAACG